ATTGGGGGCAAAGTCGTTTTTCTTCAGCCTCTGTTTCATGGGACTTCACATACCTGTAGGATTCATATCGGGGCTGTTTGCTGCTAACTATTCGAACGTTGACTTGATTTGGTTTTTTAAGAATTCTGTAATGGCATTGGCCCAACGAGAAAATGCTGTGTTTCGCATGGGGATGACTACTTGAATGACACCTTGACGAAAATAAGGGTAAGACATGACATTCCAGCGCTTGCGCGATATAGTCCATTAAACCAAGGCATCTGGTGATTCTCACGAGAGCGGCTTTGTTCATTCCACCCCAGGCCACCCAAAACCATGGCAGTTTCGTGGCCTCTGTTCCTCACTGACAGATGTTCAAAATCTTACTGGGTCTGTGTGCAAAAGAGGTTTCGAGCTCGGTAAGAAACCACAGCTCCTGAACAAAAACAAAATTAAAACTAATGAACACAAGTAACTGTTACGTCCAGGTTTTGTGAGGCATTTGTAACTGCTCTGTTTTTAATCTTCATTAGTTTTCTGTTCAGCTCTTTGTTGTTGGTGTTTTGGAAGCACTGAAGGGCATTGAACATATTTTTGCTAATGCGATGTGTGTAGTCATCTTTTACAATTTCAAAGTCATAAATGCCATAAAAATTGAGCATCTGATGAGATTTGGCATCTCCGTCACAGAGCATCCTGCTGTATACTAAACCTCAGTGTTGCGCTGATTTTGCGAATATTGTTTCAGCCTCCATAGCTTTTGCACTTCCTTGTAAATTTTGCTGACACTTTATTTGATGTTGGATTCTCAAAGGCAGAATAAAAAGCGCATATCCGTCATTGTCACCTACTTCTTTATCTTTCTTCATAATTGGTGAAATTTTCTTTTTGGCGATGGGGTGAGGAGCAAGTTCATCCTCATCTAAAGTTTCATCTTCACTATTATCACTCTCACGATATGTTCCATCACTATACCTACACCACTAGTGCCTATCAATGTTCGAACTGTCGTGTGATATGCTGAAGAATGTCGATGCCATTGCAGTAGGCTGTGGTAATCTTGAGAAATTGAGGCTAGGGCATCAAAGTATTTTGAAAAGGTGTTCAAAAAGCATTTTCTGAGCTCGATAACTGTTGAAACTGGGGTAGTGCCGAAACAGCACTCTCATCTCGTTGATTAGACGCTAGCATCAGCATCAGCAAATGTCATTGAAAGAGACGATTATGAGGCTGAAACAAAAGAATGAATTGAGTGTAGGAACTGATCTAAAAACCCATGTCTGTCTGTCTGTAAATATAAACACAAGCACAGTTTTGGTGTAGAACAAAATAAGACAGTAAAGTTGAGTAAAGGT